TTCTACTCCCCAGAAACTAAACCACTGAGCAATGGCACGCGGGAGCACGGCAGTAGCACGCATTTATTTTGGCCCTTTTTTCCCACTCAGTACAATCAGCGGCTCTGGCTGGATGCTGGAAAACCCATGGAATCATTACTTTTTTCCATCCATGTGTGATTTCAGAGACTTGGAGCTCGTGGGAATTGCACTGGAACCTAACTTTTGAGGTCAGCTACAGTTCCAAACACTGAGTTCTAATCCTAAAGCTCCCCTGTAACTTAGAGCAGACTCCCCAAACCCTCTGTTTTCTCCCCATCCACCAGGCCAGGTGGTTCTGCCACCCGGACTCCCCACCCGGGCGAAGGGCTCCGAGGATGGCAATGGGACTAGGAGCTCCTTAGGAGAACCCACGCAGCGGGCTTCTTAGATGGAGTCGGTGGAAAGGATGATGTGAGGGACGTGTGTGGGACAGAAGGTCTGAAGTTTCTGAAGTCTCTTTTAAAACAGTGACTGACTTTTCAAACTAAGCGAGCCCGTTCTCACTCACCTGCCACCTGGAAACCAGCACTCAATCAGACACTGGGGAAATCTGGGAGTAAAAGATGAAAAGGATCATCCAAAGAGCAGGACTGCTCTCATCGATTTGCTTAGCAAACCAGTTTCCAAGCCCAGGAACCGGAGCAAAACCCATCCAGCCCACATCTTCCCGCTCCTGTGAGAGGCCTGAGGGGCCATCCATGCTGTCCTCAGAGACATGAGCCCTCCAGGCTGAGACACCAGCAGAGCTTGTCCTAGGGACATTTGGAGGGAGTCGTGATGTTCATGCCCGCCAGGATGGCAGCCATGAGCCAGGGGCTCTGTTGGAGCTCTCAACAAACTAATTCCGTGATTCTCCCCATGCCTGATGGGGTAGATGCACATGCACACACATGTACTCACATCCAGGCACACACAGGCACACACACACACTCAGCCAGGCACACACACACATGCACACATGCACTCACACCCAAGCACACACACACATGCACACACATGTACTCACACCCAGGCACACACACACTCAGCCAGGCACACACACACATGCACACATGCACTCACACCCAAGCTCACACACACACATACACACACATGTACTCACACCCAGGCACACACACACTCAGCCAGGCACACACACATGCACACATGCACTCACACCCAAGCACACACACACACATGCACACACATATACTCACACAGGCACACACACACAGGCACACACACACACTCAGCCAGGCACACACACATGCACACATGCACTCACACCCAAGCACACACACACATGCATACATGCACACACATGTACTCACACCAAGGCACACACACACAGGCGCACACACACACTCAGCCAGGCACACACACACATGCACACATGCACTCACACCCAAGCACCTGCACACATGCACACACACACACACTTAGCCAGGCACACACACATGCACACATGCACTCACACGCAGGCACACACACACATGCACACATGCACACACACACACACTTAGCCAGGCACACACACATGCACACATGCACTCACACGCAGGCACACACACACATGCACATATGCACTCACACCCAAGCACACACACACAAATGCACACATGCACACACATGCACTCACACCAAGGCGCACACACACACAAATGCACACATGCACACACATGCACTCACACCAAGGCACACACACATGCACACATGCACTCACACCCAAGCACACACACACATGCACTCACACCCAGGCACAAACACACTCAGCCAGGCATACGCACACATGCACTCACACCAAGGCACACACACACATGCACACATGCCCTCACACCCAGGTATGCACACACATATACTCACACCCAGGCATGTGCACACATGCACTCACACCCAGGTACACACATACATGCAAACACACATACACCCAGGCATGCACACACAAGACAAGATCTCAAGAGTTTGAAAGATTCACTCCCCTCCCCCTGGGCCACAGCTCTGGAATGAAAGGCCACACAGCCAATGTCCAGCACCAGCTGCCCCTCAAGCCTCCAGACGAGTGCAGTCAGAAAGTGACCCCAGATGAGACCAGCAGAAGAATCACCCAACTGAGCCCAGTCCAAGCAGCTGACTGCATAATTGTAAGAAACAAAAACGTGCCTGCTGCCTTACCTCAGTGTTAAACCTGTGTGGTGGAGTGATTCGTGACACACACTGGATGGCCAGTTCTGAGGTGACCACTGCAGGCCTGTCATCCAGAGACGGAGATGCTCGGATGCAGACAGACTGCAGATGGGAACGCAGAGACGGACATGCTCGGATGCAGACAGACTGCAGATGGGAACGCAGAGACAGACGGACATGCTCGGATGCAGACAGACGACTGCAGACGGGAACGCAGAGACGGACATGCTCGGATGCAGACAGACTGCAGACGGGAACGCAGAGACGGACATGCTCGGATGCAGACAGACTGCAGATGGGAACGCAGAGACAGACGGACATGCTCGGATGCAGACAGACGACTGCAGACGGGAACGCAGAGACAGACATGCTCGGATGCAGACAGACGACTGCAGACGGGAACGCAGAGACGGACATGCTCGGATGCAGACACACACAGCTGTTTGATCAGGAGTCCCAGGGCTCGATTTGCTAAGAGAACCAACACATCTTTAGGAACAAACTTGCTTCTATTCCCAGTTTCTTGGGAAATACAGGCGTGTGGGGGCTTGGGCCATGCTGGAGGGAAAGCAGGAGCTGGTGAGAGCTTCCTATGGGTGGGGGCCAAATGCAAACATGCCCACCGATGGTTTTCCCAAAGCACTGGTAGAAGAAGGGGCAGGTGGGCAGCGACCCCCAGAGAAGAAGCCAGGACGGGAGCCGCGTGGGAGGAGAGAAGTCACCCGTGACAGTTCTGCAAGCTGTTTCCTGTGGCAAGTCCAATGTGAAGTCTCCTCTTCTGAGAAGCTCTGCAGTGGGATCTGAGCTGCCCATGGTACTTTCCCTGGCCCTGGCTCTCTAGGATAGAGGCAAAGAAGCAGCAGCTCAGCCTCCCATCCACCACGATGCCAGCAGAGCACTTACAGTGAGGCAGGAGGAGCAGAAAACGCGGCTGGGGGTGAGCTCCAGAGGGGCCCAGACCAGGCCAGTCCCAAGGGGCTGCTCACCCAGAGTGGCTCATCCCCCACACACCTGTCAGATGGCCTGGACTGTCCACCCGTGGTGCATCAAGGGAACGCCGAGGAAGGTGGAGGACAGCTACCAGCAAAGGGACTGCAGAGGCGCAGCCCTGATCCCACACTGGTGCTCCCAAAAAGGAAGCCCTCATAAGCGGAAGAGCTAGTTCGTCTCCTGACTGTTTTTATTATTGGATTAATCTGTCTTCCCTGATATAGATATAAATATTTTATGTGCCATAGCCTGGAGACTCACTTACGACAATCACACTGCCTGGCTCCACTTTGAAGGAAACACCTCTGTAAAGGGAGATGGTGCCCCTCTGTCTTCCTGAACCACAGGCAGCCCCTGCCGGGCACAGGACACAGGCCAAGGGACAGAGGGGTCCAGAGAGAAAGTTCTGAGAACAGGGTAGAGCAGGGTGCCTGCACCTCCATGACTCAGAGATGTCAGTCCCCAGTAAAGATGGAAACCAGAAGGGAGCCAGGGACTCATGGAGCTCAGAGAGGTGGCTCCCACCCTCCCTGATCCCAGTCCTCAGAGAACTGCCGCCTAACTCTAAAGGGGCAAACAAGGAGCAACGTCTGCCATTGTCTTCCTCCTGAAAGCTGCCTGGGCTCCATACAGAATAAAGAGGGTGACAGGGGGAAGATCACCACCCACGCCCCCACAGGATGGACACTCATCTTTCAGGGCTGGGAGGAGGGTCTGAGTGTGGAGACTATGGCTTCATTACCCATCATGCATAGCAGCATGTGTCCATGCAGCCATTCAACAAACACCTTCTGTGCACCTACTAAGTGCTGAGAATACAGCACCGAGCAAGACACTGCCTCCCATGGAGGAGCTCACTGGCATGGGAGTGGGCAGGCAGATGACCGGGCACACATGCAGTGTGTGAGCCTGAGGCACCCTAGGGCTGAGGAAGGGACACATGGGAGCCCCAGAACACAGCTGGAAGGAGGAGGCGATCTTGAGGGAAACGCACAACATCAGTGACCGCAGGTACCTCCCCCACCATCATAGCACACCCCCAAGCTCACTTGTGAGCACCACACCCAGAGAGGAAACCGTCCAGCTCCCACCTCACCCCCAGGGGACAGTGTCCCTCTGCAGGCATATGACCCTCACCCCACGCTGCCATGTGAACCTGGTCATGCTCGTTTACTTTTACTTCCTTTTAAAACTTTCTGCTGGGCCAAGGCAGGTGGATCATGAGGTCAAGAGATCGAGACTACCCAGGTCAACAAGGTAAAACCCCATCTCTACTAAAAATACAAAAAAGATTAGCTGGGCATGGTGGTGCATGCCTGTAATCCCAGCTTCTCGGGAGGCTGAGGCAGGAGAACTGCTTGAACTCAGGAGGCAGAGGTTGCAGTGAGCCGAGATCAAGCCATTGCACTCCAGCCTGGGTAACAAGAGGGAAACTCCGTCTCAAAAGAAAAAAAAAATTTCTACTGGAGTAGAATGTGCATTTATCATGCATGAGCAGCCCACTGAATTTTCACAAACAAACCATCCATATAACCAGCACCTACACCAAGAGACAGAACCTAACCCGACACCCCCACAACACCCCATGCTCCTGCCCTACCCCTCAAACCCCAGGTTCCTGCCCCACCCCCGCACACCCCTCGCTCCCACCCCATCCCCACCCCACCAGGTAACCTGCTTCTTGATTTCTCTTGTTGGGTCTGGCTTGTTGGGTTTTTTTTAGCAGCTTTATTGAGACATAATTCACATATCATAAAATTCATTTTTTAAAAGTGTACAGTTCGATGGTTTTGAGTATAATCACAGAGCTGTGAAATCATCACAACTATCTAATTTTACACCTTTATCACCCCCAAAAGATACCCGATACCCTCCTCAGCCATTCCCCATTCCCTTCTTCAACCCCAACCAGTAACCACTAATCTGCTTTCTGTCTATAGGGATTGAACTGTGCTGGACAGTTCACACACACAGGGCCACCCATGTCTCACTCTGGACCTTGGGGGTGGGTTACTAAGTCTCCCCCACTGAGTATGATGCATGCTGCAGGATCTTCATACAGGATGTCTATCACACATCTCACCACTGAGTATGACATGTGCCATGGGGTCTTCATACATGCTCTCCATCACACATCTCACCACTGAGTATGACACGTGCCATGAGGTCTTCATACATGCTCTCCATCACACATCTCACCACTGAGTATGACACGTGCCGTGGGGTCTTCATACATGCTCTCCATCACACATCTCACCACTGAGTATGACACGTGCCGTGGGGTCTTCATACATGCTCTCCATCACACATCTCACCACTGAGTATGACACATGCCATGGGGTCTTCATGCATGCTCTCCATCACACATCTCACCACTGAGTATGACACGTGCCATGGGGTCTTCATACATGTTGTCTATCACTCACCTGTTCCATCAAGTGTTTAAAATTAACGAATTTCTTAACTGTTATAAACCTACACCAATTTTTTATTTCTTCTTGAATCAGTTTTCGTAGTCTACGTCCTAGGAATGTTTCCATGTCATCAGGTTATGAAATGTAGTGACACATGATTGTTTATAATGTACCCTGATAGTCCTTTATTTTATTTTATTTTAATTAATTTTTTGAGACAGAGTCTCAACTCTTGTTTCCCAGGCTGGAGTGCAACCTCCACCTCTTAGTTCAAGTGATTCGCCTGCTTCAGCCTCTCAAGTAGCTGGCAAGCACCTCCATGTCTGGTAAATTTCTGTGTTTTTGTAAAGGCGGAGTTTCACCATGTTGGCCAGACTGGTCTCGAACTCCCGATCTCAGGTGATCCACCTGCCTCTGCCGCCTGAAGTCCTGGGATTACTGGATAATCCTTTTTGTATCTATAAGGTTGGTTTTCATGGCACCTCTTTCATCCAATGTTAGTAATTTGAGGCTTCTCCCTCTTTATGTTCTGCCCATCTAGGCAAAGGCTTGTCAATTTCGTTGATCTTTTCAAATAACCGATTTTTGGTTTTGTCGATTTTCTCTATTGTTTTTATACTCTCTATTTTATTTATTTTCACTCCAATTATTATTTCCTCCCACCTGTCTGCTTCGGATTTATTTTGCTTTCCTTTTTTTTAGTTTCTTGAGGTAAAGATTAGGTTATTGATTTGAGATCTTTTTTCTTTTTTAATATAAGTGTTTGCAACTACAAACTTCCCTGAAAGCACTGTTTTAGCCGCGTCCCATAAGATTTCACATGCATTGTTTTCATTTTCATTCATCTCAAAGCGTTTTCTGATTTCCTTGTGCGTCATTTGACACCTGGTTTTGGGGAATGTGCTGTTTAACTTGTGCGTATTTGTGAATTTCCCAAATTTCCTTCTCTTACTGATTTCTGATTCTGTCCCACCGTGGCCAGAAAACACTTTGCATGAAAGCAGTCTTTCAAAATGTGTTGAGACCTGGAAAGGTGGCTCATGCCTGTAATCCCAGCACCTTGGGAGGCAGAGGCAGGCAGAAATCACCGTAGGCAACATGGTGAAACCCCATCTCTACTAAAATACAAAAATCATTAGCCAGGCATAGTGACACGCACCTGTAATCCCAGCTACTCGGGAGGCTGAGGCAGGAGAATCGCTTGAGCCGCGAGGCAGAGGTTGCAGTGAACCAAGATCATGTCACTGCACTCCAGCCTGGGCAACAGAGTGAGACCCTGTCTTAAAAATAAAATAAAATAAAATAAATAATTACAAAATAAAAGATACTGATTTTTGTTTTATGGCTTAAGTTATGGTCTATTTCAAGAATATTCCGTCAAGACCCTTATCTTACAGCTACAAAGACCTTTATTCCAAATAAGGTCACATTCCCAGGCACCAGGCGGACATATCTTGGCGGGTGGCAGAGGGCACGATTCAAGCCAGCAAGGAGGGCATGTGAGCTAAATGCACAAACACCCAGGAGCGTGTAGTGTGCGTGGGGCTCCGGGAAGCGTGAGGCCCTGCCCCTGCACTCACGGCTGCCTTCATGGCTCTACCCCAGTGCCTGGAAAAGCCTCAGAGGCCCATGAGGAAGCGTCTCTCCTGGGTCCTGTGCCCCGGCCCAGGCTCCCACCTGCAGCATCACACAGGCACAATGAGTCCAGGCACTGGGAACCTGAGGGGTGGGACATTCAGCAGCGGTGAGACTGAGACCCCCACAAGGGGCGTAACCTCCAGGGCCTCAGCATCTCTTGGTGACAGCTGCACCCGCCGGCCCCTGCACCCGGATGAACACTGTGCCTCTCCCCACCTGCTTTCCCCATCAGGACCCTGCCTCTGGGCTGGGGACGTGACGGGCTGGGGACGTGACGGGCTGGGGACGTGCCAGGCTGGGGTCTGGCAGGTCCTTATGGGAGAGTCTGGGGACCAGCACCCAGTGCACTTTGGGATGAAACTTCTTTTGAAATGTTTCTTGCCCCTTTCTGGCTTCATGGCCCCTCCTCAAAGGCTTCAAGCAGGACAGTCACCAGGGATCAGAGCTCGTCCTGGAGTCCCTTCCTCCCAGCGTGGCAGAACCCTGTCCAGGAAGGAGCTGGGGGCGGTGCTGGGCTCCCCGATCACGGCCCCACCGTTGCACTCCCTTCCTTCCCAACTCCCCTCCACAGACAGCCAGGGAAATGGCCAAAATGGGGCTCCCTCTCATCCCAACAGTTTCTATTCTGTTTCCATGGCAACTGCTATCTGAATGTGGGTAAGAAACAAGAGCCATATTCTTTAAAATAACGACAGCTCGGAAGCTTTCACGGGCCTGTGTTTTGGGGACTCATGGTTTCCATGGAAACTCAAGCCAAAAGCAGAGCTAAGTAAAGAAGGCGCTGGGTCTCCCCCGCTACCTGCCCCTCAAGGAGGTGCTTACCACTGACTGCTGTGCGAGGATGCAGGACCAGCTCTCCCAAGTCAGCAGTGGGCCGCCCTCCTCCAAAGTCACATGGGTGTGGGAGACACGGAGGCGGGGGGGAAGGAGAGGGGCCAGACACCCCCCACCCAGACTCACATGGAGAAGGGACACTGGGGTGTCTCCAAGGCCCCCCAGGCCCCCCGAGCTGGCAGAGGTCACTCACCGGAGGGTTCAGGACCCATCTCAGCACAGTCAAGGCTACCTCACCGCTCCCCTTTTCTGAAAGTCACTATGGGGCGGGGAGGGATCTGCAGCCTCCAGGCTGAGCGGCTCTGATGAAGGGCACACAAGCCAGGCCGGCATCTCCCAGACAGCACTGCACAGTGAGCCAAGCACAGGATTGCTTTGACGAGCTCTTGCTGCTGTCCAAGAGCTCCCAAGCCCAGGGCTGCGGACGCCGTGTCTGCTTCCCACCAAGGAAGTACTCAGGGAACACCCAGGGAAAGGCTGGCGCAGAAAACTGCTCACAGGTGTGACACCCAGGGGCCCACAGGTGTGACACCCAGGAGCCCGCAGGTGTGACACCCAGGGGCCCCGCAGCTGTGACACTCAGGGGCCCGCAGGTGTGACACCCAGGGGCCCGCAGGTGTGACACCCGGGGGCCCCACAGATGTGACACCCAGGGGCCCACAGGTGTGACACCCAGGGGCCCCGTTGCTTCTCTAGCTACAGTTTTTAGGAAGAGCCTGGTGGTGCAGGAGCCATGTGGCTGAGGCTCCCTGGCCAATTCTCGGCCGTCCTGTGCAGAACGCCAGCTCAGCTGCCAGACCACAGCCTGATTCCAGTGGCCCGGCCAGGACCTGACGGGAAAGTTATCTGCACGTTCTGACTCACATCTGCCTGCTTTCTCTTTCTTCTTCCATTTAAACAATGCTCGGGAACACCTGCTAGGCCGCGTTTCACTTTTTCCTTAATCTGTACATTACTTAAAGCAGTGCTTTTATCTCAAAGCCACTGGGCACGTGGTTCCATTACTCTCAGTTCCCTGCCACAGTCGTCACATATGAACGATGCTGGAGTCCTGAGCCTGAGAACCCTTGTGACACACCCACTCGGGTGCTGCAGTCGTGAGCTGGCGACCTCCTCCTTCTCAGCTGTCACCCATTCAGTGCTGGAGCTGTGCTGGGCCCTCTTCTGCATGGCCTCACAGACCGTGTGGTCCAGAGAGGACGTCGTCAGATCCAAGCTCATGCAGAGGCCCGGGGTCCATCCCAGCTGTATCTGCCCCTGGACGGAGACAGACGGGAAACCTCAGGCTCTGCACCAGCCTGCCCGAAGGCAGAGCAGGAATGCTTTCCCTGCAGAGAACACGCCTCAGACCTCCATTCTTTATTAAAATTTGAAATAAACATCTGTATTTAACTCATCAAGCCTTGACACAGATGCTTCACCTTCAGTCTCCCAGGAAGATACACTTTGGGGATAACAGCAGGACAGGAGGCCCAGGATGGCAGGAGCATGGGATCATGGGAGCATGGGAGGACGGGAGGAGAGGAGGACAGGAGGACAGGAGGATGGGAGCACAGGAGGACGGGAGCACGGGAGCATGGGAGGACGGGAGCATGGGAAGACAGGGGCATGGGAGGACGGGGGCACGGGAGCATGGGGGCACACGGGAGCACGGGATGACGGGAGGACAGGAGGACGGGAGCACGTGAGGATGGGGGCACGGGAGCACGGGATGATGGGAGGACAGGAGGATAGGAGCATGGGAGGACGGGAGCATGGGAGGACAGGAGCACGGGAGCACGGCAGGATGGGAGCACAGGAGGATGGGAGCATGGGAGGACAGGGGCACAGGAGCACAGGAGGATGGGGGCACAGGAGACGGGAGCATGGGAGGAGGGAGCACGGGAGCATGGGAGCACAGGAGGACAGGAGCTCAGGAGGACGGGAGCATGGGAGGACAGGAGGATGGAGCATGGGAGCATGGGAGGATGGGAGCACCGGAGGATGGGAGGACAGGAGGATGGGAGCACAGGAAGGTGGGGGCATGGGAGGACAGAGGCATGGGAGGACGGGAGCATGGGAAGGTGGGGGCACGGGAGGACGGGGACACGGGAGCATGGGGCACGGGAGCATGGGGCATGGGAGCATGGGATGATGGGAGGATGGGAGCACAGGAGGGTGGGAGCAGGGGAGGACGGGAACACAGGAGCATGGGAGGATGGGAGCATGGGAGGATGGGGGAACAGGGGCATGGGAGGATAGGAACACAGGAGGAGGGAGCACAGAAGCACAGGAGCACTGGAGGACAGGAGCACAGGAGCACGGGAGGACGGGAGCACAGGAGGACAGGAGCATGGGAGCACAGGAGGAGAGGAGCACAGGAGGACGGGGGCATGAGAGGACGGGAGCATGGGAGGATGGAGCACGGGAGCACAGGAGCATGGGGGCATGGGAGGACAGGAGCATGGGAAGGTGGGGGCACGGGAGGATGGGGACACAGGAGTATGGGGCATGGGAGCATGGGGCATGGGAGCATGGGGCATGGGAGCATGGGATGATGGGAGGACGGGAGGATGGGAGCACAGGAGGACGGGAGCACAGAAGCACAGGAGGACGGGAGCACGAGAGGACGGGAGCACGGGAGGATGGAGCATGGGAGCACAGGAGGATGGGAGGACAGGAGCACGGGAGCACAGGAGGACGGGAGCACGGGAGCACAGGAGGATGGAGCACAGAAGGTTGGGAACACAGGGGACACGGTAGGCTGCCTGCAGTGATTTTGTTATTCCCTTAACTTAAAACCCAGGATATGGGAACAGATGTTTGAGAGACATTAAACCAGTGAGAACTAAGCATAAGGAGCACGACCATAGCTCACGCCTCTCCCAAAACCATTTGGTTCCTAATGCTCAGAAACAAAAAGACGTCCCTATTGTGACGCATGATGTATGAATTCGAATTTAGATGAAATTTAAATTGATCTTAAAAGACAGACAAATGTCAATGAACAGCAGAGTTTACAAATTACAGGCAGAGACGATGCTTCGCCAGCCTGCGGGAAGACGCTTCAGCCGTGACGGGAGCGTGTTTCCCTGCACGTATCCACTCGTCACTCACCTTCCTCCCCGCCCTGAGCAGGTGCTAAGGCAGAGGGTGCTCCCTCAGGGTGAGAGGCAGGCAGAGGCAGCAGAGCCGGCAGGGCAGGGGCAGCAGCTCCTCCGCGGGTCATGGTGGACAGGGGTAAGGCACCAGGAGGCTTGAAGAAGGGTGCCTCACCCAGCCCAGGCGTCACAGAGGACTGCCTGGAAGAAGCTACAACTGCAAGCCCTGAAAGAAAAGGGGGCCCAGCCCAGAAAAGAGGCCACGTCGGTGGCGGATTCCAGCCCAGGCTAGTCCTGGAGTCAAAAGGTGCCTTCAAGATGCAGGCAGCATAAAGACTTATACACACACACACTGCACAACATATACACACCACACACAACACAGACACACGCATGCACACAATGCACAACATATACACACAACACACAACACAGACACACACATGTAACACACACATGCACACACACACTCTGCACAACATATACACACCACACACAACACAGACACACACATGTAACACACACATGCACACACACACAATGCACAACATATACACACCACACACAACACAGACACACATATGTAACACACACATGCACACACACACAATGCACAACATATACACACCACACACAACACAGACACACACATGTAACACACACATGCACACACACACAATGCACAACATATACACACCACACACAACACAGACACACACATGTAACACACACATGCACACACACACAATGCACAACATATACACACCACACACAACACAGAGACACACATGTAACACACACATGCACACACACTGCACAACATACACACCACACACAACACAGAGACACACACATGTAACACACACATGCACACACACACAATGCACAACATATACACACCACACACAACACAGACACACATGTAACACACACATGCACACACACACACTGCACAACATATACACACCACACACAACACAGACACACATGTAACACACACATGCACACACACACAATGCACAACATATACACACCACACACAACACAGACACACACATGTAACACACACACACTGCACAACATATACACACCACACACAACACAGACACACACATGTAACACACACATGCACACACACAATGCACAACATATACACACCACACACAACACAGACACACATGTAACACACACATGCACACACACACACTGCACAACATATACACACCACACACAACACAGACACACACATGTAACACACACACTGCACAACATATACACACCACACACAACAGACACACACATGTAACACACATGCACACACACACAATGCACAACATATACACACCACACACAACACAGAGACACACACATGTAACACACACATGCACACACACACAATGCACAACATATACACACCACACACAACACAGACACACACATGTAACACACATGCACACAATGCACAACATATACACACCACACACAACACATACAGACACACACATGTAACACACATGCACACAATGCACAACATATACATACAACACACAACACATACAGACACACACATGTAACACACACGCACAGATGAATACATTCAGAGGTGGCTCTGACAGGACAGGCTGGCCCGGATCATGGGTTTGTGTGCCCTGCGGTGGGAAGACCTTGGGCAGTGGACACCAGGTCTCATTCTCCAGTCACGGGTGCGGCAGGAAGGCTCCTGGAGGATGTACAGCCGTGGGTTGGGCTTCCAGAGATTTCTGCAGGTGTCCAGAACAGATCCGAAGAAATGTTCCGCTTCGTATTGCCCCCACCCACCGAAGCCAAAGAAGGGCTGCCGGGCTTCACCCCCCCAGGCCCCCTCCACCCTGACTTCCCACGGGAGCTGCGGCAGGGGTCACCTGGGACGTTCACTGGTGGGTGAAGAACCTCATCCCTGAAACCCCACTGGGGCGCGGCCCTGGCAGAGGAGCTAATGGGAGCCGCAGCTCTCTCCCGGCCTCCCCTCAAGGAGCAGTGAAGAAGAAGCAGAGGACGGAGCTTCAGGGAGGGGACAGGGCCAATGCCCACTGCGGAGGATGGAGTTGTGGGGAAGAAGAGGGGCTCCACCCACCCTGAGGACAGAGCTGGGTATCCCTCAGACCCTCTGTCTGACCCCAAAGCCCACACTCTTGACCTCTGAACTTGAACCTGGAGGGAGGGAGAAGAGCAAAGCAGAGGAAAGCGCAAAGTCTGCACCAGGGGGGTCACCTGGCCAAGACTGGGCTTGTGCCCGCCCTCCCAGGCCTGGGCAGCTGAGCCTGCCAGGAGAGGGCGGCCCTCGGGCCTTATACCTGCATGGCCCGAGCCAGTGCTCAGCAAGGCGCTACCTCCATCCCTCTCCACTTGGCTCCTCCCGCTGGGATGGAAGGGGAGGCGTGAATGACTGAGCATCCACCACAAGAATGAAGGGAGAGGCTCTGTGGGAAGCAGGTCACCAAGTCACCCCAGCTTCCCCAGAAGGGGATTTTGGGGACATTTTACAACTAAGGGCACTGTTCTCAGTGTGTGCTGCCTGGGCTCAAACTCAGACCCATCCTTGTCCTCCCTTCCTTCTCTTCCTCCTGCTCCTCCTCCTGCTCCTGCTCCTCCTGTTTCTCTTCCTCCCCCTCCTCCCCCCTCCTCCTCCTCCTCCTGCTCCTGCTCTTGCTCCTCCTCCTGCTTCTGCTCTTCCTGTTTCTCCTCCTCCTGCTCCTCCTCCTGCTCCTCCTCCCCCGTCCTCCTGCTCCCCCTCCTCCTTCTGCTCCTGCCCCTCCCTCTCCTCCCCCCGGATCCCATGGTCCCCAGGTCAACTTCATTCCTATCCTGCGCTATTGGAGACCTCTCTTAGAATAAATAAAGCATCCTTATCATAAATGGCTTCCTTTGCTTTTGCTAGTTTGGTTTCTAACACCTGTAACCAAGAGTCCCAACCAGCCCACGCCACCCTGAAGCATCTGCCACCTCGCCCCCCCTTCCCCCCGGCCTGCTCAGCAGTGGCCTCCTCCCTGTCCCTGGAGCCCCAGGATGGAAAGCTGAGGCAGGCTCCCCCTGGGACCTGGCTGCCGCCCCTCGCGAGGCTGCTGTCCTTCCACCAAAGCTGCAGCGTCTGTCTGTGCGGCAGAAACAGTTCAGGAACAAGGCACTGTGCCCACAGATTTCCTTCCAAATGCTTATTCGGTAAAGTACAGGAATCAGGAAGTACAGCCTCATCCCGTACGTAAAGGTCACGAAATGATTATCCAATCCTCAAGAGATTCCAGGGTTTCTGTCCCTCCCTATCATGGCCACACATAGCCTTTGACCTTCCTTAGCCTCCAGCTGGGGCCTGGGGACTGGGGCTGCCCGGGGAGCACCTTTCCACCCTCTCACCTGACCTCTGGCCTCCAGCTCCGGGCTGGCTGAGCTATGCAGGCCTCCAGGGACTGGGGTGAGCCCCTGCTGCCTCTGATGTCAGCCTGTCCCCCTCCAGGAAGCTGCTGTCCCTCTGGCCCTCTCCCACCATGCTCTTTCCTTCCCACATTCACTTACCGTGGGTGCCCCAAGCTGTTCAGACACAGAGCGTGATCCCAACATCCCAGAAAAGACAAAGGAGTCGCACAGAGCCAGAAAATCCCCCAGAGCCTCGGCTTCTGACCTCTGGAGCCAACCCAGCCCCACAGGGCCCAGGTTCTCAGTGGCAGACAGTGGAGCTGTGGTCGCGAGCGCCCTGCTTGCTAAGGGAGCTGGCCCTGGGCAACGAGGCCTCCCCGGCCTCCACCGATGGTGCAAATACCATAGCAGGGACCATCAGAGCTGGAATCTCCACATCCACGGGCCCGAGGGGCCTGCGGGAGGCTCCGCCCTCCATACCAAGACATGACGGAAGCAGGTGGGAGCACAGGCCTGCGGGCGGTCATGGAGCATCTCCGGCCACACTCCCATATCTGACAGTCCGGGTCCGGGTGCCAGACGGGATGCCAGTGACCCAGGTGCTGGCCAGAGGGCTCGTGCAGCTCAGGGTTATGGGCCTCAGGGTAGGGCACTTCAGGCTGGCACCCTCAGAGGCCATGGGCAGCAGGGGGGCTGCGGGTAGAGGTGGGAGCACACATAGGGGAGCCATGGAGGAGTCGCCAGGGAAGCCGCCTTTGGTGGGTTTTCCTGCTCACTGCGGTGCACAAGGGCTTGAGCATGTGGCCAGGGAGCCTGTAGCTTACCTGGAACCACCTGCCTCCATATGACTCACAGCTAGGCATGGTTTTTACATGTTAAATAGTGGGAAAAAATCAGAAGAGGAAAAATATTTCATGACACATGAAAGTTACACGAAAGTCAAATTTTGGGGTGGGGTGAACCCACTTTTCCGGGAGCAGGGTTTTCCACTGATGGAGCAGCTCATTCCACAAGGCAGAGCGGGGGCGGGGGGGAGGGCCACACAAAGACCCCGTGGCCAGCAAACCTCCGGTGTTTATTCTCGGGAATTTGAAGGAAACGTTTGTTGACCTTTGCTGAAAGCAATCAAGACCCATTAAAGATTTCTCACCTTAGAAGCCCAAGGAGAAGCAGTGATGTGGAATGGGGCTTCGTAGAGAACTCACCACTTCCTCCCAGGAGGCGAGATCAGGCCTGTCCTGGGGGTCGTTTTCCAAGTCTCTGCCTATGCTTGACCATTTCCGTCGGGCTCCGGGGATTTCTGGCTTTGCTTGTGCTGTCTCTGCTGTCTGTCTGTCTTCTGTTTCACTTCTGGTCTTTTTCTTGGCCTTGTGCACAGCTTATGATCATAACCCACATTTTTACATACGACTCACATCGGGAAAATTTTGATGTGGTCGGAAAGGCGACCGTGTGTCCTTTCACTGTAACAGAAGGCCCTGAACGCTTCCAGGTTGTCTTGTGTGGGCTGTTCTGCACCTCGGCAGGGACAGACATTTTCCCGGAGAAGGCTGGTGATGCCACCACGGATTCTTGCGTGGAGCTGCCCCTGGAATGTAGAGCCATAGAGACGTAACTGATCCCTGCCCTCCGGAGAGATGGTCTCAGGCACGGCACTGTTGTCCTACAAGACACACTTTTGTTTCTGGCAGCAAATCCATTTCCACATTCCTGATTGTATATACAGTATCTTCCTCGGGGTCTCATTCAAACTGGTTTTTATATTACTGGTTCCTTGTTAACTAAGGGGTCAAATAAAATCTTTGGCATGAATTCATTTTATATTTGCATTTAAAATTTTTGGCTTTTTAAAAGATTCATGAACATCCATGACCTCAGGTGACAGAATGATCCTTACAGGCTCAAGGATGTCGGAGCAGCTGTTCCATGGACCAGACAGAGGACTGGGGGGGCCCGGAAGTGCCACACCTGGTCACTGGCCTTGGAAAGGGCTCCTTCCTTCCCCACAAAGATGCGGCCAAGGCTGCCTCAGAACCCCGCTGACTTGGTGTCATCTCTCCTGTAGCTTCGGGTGCAAATTGACGATAGAGTGCTCTAAAGTTAAATTCAAAAATCCTGCTTCTCGATTCTCCTTAACTTGCTCACACGCTGAGATTTGTGAATCGTATTTTACTTAATGCAAAATTGTTCTGGAGTCAGTGAAGACTTCTTACAAGCATGCATGCTAATTTGTTTTACCTCAACACCAAATTCATGAAATTCTTTTAAAACTACATAAAACAAGACAAATGCTAGATAGAAGTGCACTATGAGCACCGCCCTTTCCCTGACCCCAGAGGACTTCTGACACTTTTTTAAAGTCAGTGCTCAGCCAACACACCATTTCAGTTGTCAGACCCTGCTTTTTGCCAGCTAAACCTAACTCTGCTTTCCCTGGCTGGACGCTGTTCAGGCTTCATGTCAGCCTTTTTGAGCTGAGCAGACTCCATCCTGGCTTCCGCATGTTAGTGATCTTCTCCGCATCGAGTATGCAGTTACAGTACAAAGCAAGGTCAGCCTGACTCTGGGCCCCCAGGAGAGCCTTTGCTGACAAGAGGCCGAGTCAGTGGTATCGGCGGAGCCTGGAAACGCAGCTGCAGTGAGCGCCCAGAGCCCCCTTATCTATAAATTGTGTGTCTTTCATGACAGCTGTGCTCCTCACACCTGGCACTGTTTTATTTATTTATTTTTTTTTATTTATTTTTTTTTTTTTGAGACAGAGTTTCCCTCTTGTTACCCAGGCTGGAGTGCAATGGCACGATCTCAGCTCACCGTAACCTCCGCCCCCTGGGTTCAGGCAATTCTCCTGCCTCAGCCTCCTGAGTAGTTGGGATTACAGGCACGCGCCACCGCGCCCAGCTAATTTTTTGTATTTTTAGTAGAGACAGGGATTCACCATGTTGACCAGGATGGTCTCGATCTGTTGACCTCGTGATCCACCCGCCTTGGCCTCCCAAAGTGCTGGGATTACAGGCGTGAGCCACCGCGCCCGGCCTGTTTTATTTCTTAGTATCAGTTTTCCTTTTTAACTTTTTGCTTACTCTGCCTTTGTGAAAACTTTGTTTCAGCCAGGCTCCCCGCTTCCTCTTGAAAGGAGCGTATAAAAGACCACCTAACTTTTTCCTCATGGCTGAGAGAATTTTGTGCATAGCCACTCTCGGTCGCCGGCTTGATAAAGGACTCATAATTCATTCTCAGAGTGTGGCGTATTCCTTGACTCGCTCGGTACGACACAATTTGGCTTACGCCAGTCTGGCTGCTCGGGCTCTTTTGGGAAATATCTGAAGGCCCCAGGGGTTTGCGGTAGGTGGGAGCTGTGGTCCCCTTCTCATGAGTGACAAGGGGAATGGCGCAATAAAACGAGGCTGGAATCAAAGTTTGCTAAATGTTTCCAAGTTCTTGTGGCCAGGGGTAGCTCCACTGTCAGCCTTCAGGAATTCTCAAAAGCACTTTGCCTGAAAACTTGACTCTGAGGCCACTGCAGTGACCTTCTGACAGCAAGCATCAAACACACATGACCTAACTGCAGCTCAGGGGAGAGGAGGGCAGGGCTCACGGTTCCGGACCGCCAGGAATGCGCTAAATGTATCAGGATGCTGGGCGCTTGGAACTCCAGCCGCATCCAGGGACTGGCCGGGCCTGAACGATCTTCCTAATCATCTGCTTATGTTGAATAATCCTCAGTTCACCAGTGGAAAACAATTCCTAACGTCTGGTGTCTACACCAGGATGAAACCCTCTGGTGTGGATTTCCATAACAACATTGACAGGGCTCAGTGAGCACCTGCACGGAGCAGACCCATGATAGAATGTTTCAAGCAGCTCCTAAGATGTAGATTACAGTAACTCACACAGACATTACAATTTTTCTGCACAAGTATTTTTGAAGTTAATTACCACCTGGGTAATAATACTCCTCTTTTTCAGGGGATGGAGAGGAATTCATACACCAGCAAGTGAATCTCACCAGAACTCCGGGAGGGACGTTGTCATTCATCCCCAGGGCTGGATTCGGGCACCGGGCCGGGCACTAGGACGGCAAGGCCCGGTCTCAGCCTCCATAATTGCCGTCTTTAAAGTCTCGATGGTTTTTTTTTTTTTTTTTTGCACTAAGTATGGCAGGTCAGGTCTCACTCATGCAGGCCTCTGTAACAACCGTTTCAGTGCTGACTGAGTGTTGAAATTAAGTGCCAGTGCTCTTGTACAAAGGCTAGAATGCAGCAAAAGCCCACCAAGAGTTGTGCCCAGGCCTTTCCTGGCCTTGAAGCATGACAAAATCATGAAGGAATTCTTAACAGGACCTTTTATGATTAAACAAGTTTTACTGAGGGTCTGGAGAAACTCCACAGGCCTCCTCCTCAAGAAGTTTACTGGGGTCTGAAGGAACCCCCAAAGCTCTGTGATTTAGCAGAAGACAAGATAAGGGCAATCACCCCATCCCCTGGGCCCATTTAGACACAGTCACTGAGGCTCCAGAGGAAGGGCTTCAGGACTCAGACCTTAGTTACAGATTAAAAGAAGCGAATCACTTATGTCTTTAGACGAACGCGCACTTAACACGTAGACAGACGTGCAGCTCAGAAGGCAGACAAGCTCTGGAAAACTGCAATTTTGAGTTGGTCTGGCGATCATTTCCAGGCCTTCCCCCTGTAACCGGTTCAGAAAGAAACACTCTCTTCCTCCCCAGTTCATCTGCATCTCGTTATTGGGCAGAAACAGTAGCCTCGCCCTCGGTTTGCTGTGGAAACAAAGGGCCTCATGTTTGCATTTGCACTGAGCTGTGCAAGTTCCATAGCTGGTCCTGTTGACCCCAGCCCAGGAGCTCTGAGCTGACCCCTTCCACAGCAGCTCCTCGCCACCACCCGCCTGGAGCTCCGGGCTGCCTGCCTAGAGCCAGGGGATTCTGGGATCTCATCAGGGGCTCATATGGCATAGTGAGGGGCGGCTGGGACTACCCAGCAAAGTCTAAGGCAGTCACAGGTGAGGGCCAGGTGCCGGCTGAGGAGAGTCCCCAAAAGGGAAACTGTACGGCCGGCTCCCACTTCCCCAAGTGGCACCTGTCCTGTACGGCCACCCTCTTTCTTAAGTTTACATTCTCGGTCTTCGGCATGTCCCACACAAGGGAAGATCAGGGGTAACATGATAAACAGAAAATAAATAAACAAAGCTGCCCACTTCTCCAGTGCTCATGGCAGGTGTCTCAGTGATTCCAGTGGCAAGACACATAAGTCAGACTTCCGTGTGGGTTTAACGTGGCAGCGTGGCAGCCTATTTGGTGTTTCTTCCTTTTCTTTGTTGCATTATTAGAAAAGTCAGAATTAAACAGTTTCCTCCCCTGGCCGTGTCTGTGGAGGACCAAGCACTTCAGGCCTCAGGGAAGGCTCCTCTGCTTGTGTCCAGAGCTCTGGGCTGGCTGCACCATCACGGCTGATGGTGAAGGGGGAGCAGAGTGTTTCCTCTGGGTGGAGGAAAAAGGAAGATATAGCAGAAAACTTGAGAGGCTGGGGAAGGGGCATGGGGAGAGGTTTCCAGAAGCTACAGAAGCCGAAGGGTCAGGGAACTCTGCCCGACGTGCTGGGAAGACCCTGGGCCTCGGCCTGCCTGCTGGGGCATGAAAACAAATCACAAGGCAACGAAACAAAAGAAGCAGGGCTGGGGCGCTGCTTCCATTTCACCGGAAAAGGCCGCAGAGGCGCCGTGGGGCCCCATGTGAGAGTCGCCTCCAGCATGAGGGTGGCTTTGCACCCACCAGTCGTACCCCGGCCCCCTAGACTCCCATCCAGGAGAGAGACAGCTGGACTGCAGGAGCCCCTCAGGCCACAATGGCCCTCCCCACTGAACTGGGACGTGCCCAGCTTCCCTCAGCAGCCGGCCCACCCCGGGGCTGACCTGCAGGGCCATCCTGAAGTCAGCATCCCTCTCCTGAAACAAGCAGCTCCCTGCCCTCAGTATAAAGAGAAAACCTGAAATGCTAAGTCATCAGCATTGAGACCACAGGGCTGTGAATGGCAGCTACCCTGTCAAAAGCATTCGGAGCAAGCAGCTGCGGAGAATCCCCCGAAAACAACCGTGGGAAAACCGTTGCAGCAAAGCCTCACCGCCCCAAACCGCACTGTAAAAACGCACCTGTTGTTTTTTAACGTGAATGAATCATAATCAGCCTCTGCAGCTGCCCATCAATTACCGTCTGGCTGGAACCAGGGGTCTGTGCTCTCCTGAGAAGTGGCCGTGTGGCCGGTGGTGGGGCCGGGAGCCGGAAGCAGCGGGAGGAAGCCCGAGACCCTTAGCCTGGTGAGGACATCAGGACATTGGACACCTCTGCCCCACGGGGATCGCTTCCCAAGCCAGTCACCATGTATAGCTGTATTCGCGCCCTACAGCTGTTCTGACGAATCCCCACAAGTGAGGGTGGGGCCTCCAGCAGCACAGTTACCATCCGACAGCTCCGGAGATCCAACGCCTGGCCTGGGCCTTGCTGGACTAAAATCAGGGTCTCAGCAAAGCTGTGTCCTTTCCAAGGCTCCAGGGCACTTCCGCTGCCTCGCCCTGTGCGGCTGTGCTGGGCACCTGCCCTCCCTGGCTAGTGGCTCCTAAGTAGCTTCCTTGCCCTCTGCGGCTGTGCTGGGCACCTGCCCTCCCTGGCTAGTGGCTCCTAAGTAGCTTCCTTGCCCTCTGCGGCTGTGCTGGGCACCTGCCCTCCCTGGCTAGTGGCTCCTAAGTGGCTTCCTTGCCCTCTGCGGCTGTGCTGGGCACCTGCCCTCCCTGGCTAGTGGCTCCTAAGTGGCTTCCTTGCCCTCTGCGGCTATGCTGGGCACCTGCCCTCTCTGGCTAGCAGCTCCTAAACCGTCTCGAAACTGGTGGTGCAGCACCTCCTCTGGCCCTGGCTCCTCTCCTGCCTCCCTCTTCCTGTTTCTGGGCCTGTGAGGACATCACCTGTGCCTGGGTAACTGGGAGGCCCTCCCCACATGCAGGTCAGCAGTGAGCAGCATAACTCTCCTTGGTCATGTAACCGTCACACCCCCAGGCCCTGGGGCATCCAATGGGGTCATCTTTGGGGCATTCTCCTGCCTGCGTGTCAGGACCTTGCATGTAGAGATGCTCGGGAAATAGTCCTCCACGAGATGATCTGTGGAGCTCTGCAGATGAGGACAAAGCCTCAGAGGAGCAACATGCTGGCCGGCAACCACAGCAGTCACGTGAGACCACACGCCCAGCACAGCCACAGAGGACTGGCCCGGAAATCACAAGCTCGCGTTCTCATCAACAGCACGAGGCCTCTTCAGGGAGAAGTGAACCCAGGTGAAGAAAACGTGTCGCTTACTGATTGGGAGATTATTCTGTCCACAAAATAATCGCTACCAAAGTACAGCCTTCAAAGGCCGGATGGGGCGGGGCATGCCCACTTCACTCTCTCCTCTGCTCCAGACACACGGCAGGCACCGGAAAACCATGAAGAGTGAGAAGCACAGTGCTGTGAACGGCTGAAGATGCTGCCGTGGACCACAGGTCTGGGCATAGGCAGCAGGGCCACAGGCTGTTCCTGAATGGCAGAGAGACTGAAACTGCCCACACGAGATGGGGGAACCTGCCCCCCACCTCAGGTGCTTGGCATGAAGGGCCCTT